CCCGCCTTGTATCCCATCTCCTTGCGGGTGGCTCCTGTATGAGTCCCCATATGACCATGTGATTTCTTTGCCTTCCTTGACTCCATTCTCTGCAAACAGGACCATCACTTGCGCAGCTGCCTTGCCTAGTTGTACCTCCTCGTAGCGAACGAAGTGCGTCGCCCGCGTGCCTTGCTTCGGCTCGTTCGATGCTGCTGGCCAGTCGAAGTCGTTATCGCTCTCGTCGTCACTTCCATCCAGCTGCGTCCCCCCTGCTGCCGTGTGTCGTGACAGTTCGTCTGGTACTGTCTCTGGTGGCTGCGCCGTTCCAACTGTCCGGAAGATCTCCCCAGTGTAGATGCTACACACCTCGAATTTTTCCAGCCTCCTCGTCGCCAGTAGGCCGAGTTCCCCTTCCGCTATGCTAGAGGGGCCTACCTACTTCGCCCCTACCACCGTGCCGCCCGTCGTTAGCATGGCCGTCGTTACTTTCGCCGTCGCCTCTGCTGCTTGTCGGCGGAGCGCCTCGCGCCTTCCCTCGTCTCCATTGCTCCTGCTCTTGTTCTTTTTGTTTTCATGCGAGGAGGGCGGCGACCTCAACCGACTATGGAGGACCCGTCGCCAGACGACGCAGGCAGAAGACGGTGAGGCGGAGCAGACGCGCAGGGCGAGACGAGGGAGGGAGCAGGACTTTGCGGAGATCAGCAGGAGGATCCGGTACGAAGAGATTAAAGGAGCAGCAGGCGTGCAGGGATCCGAGGGACCATGTGGAAGACGGCTAGTGCTATCGCCTACCACACCCACAAAGAACCCTGCACAAAGATCGCAAGGGCGGGGACCTAACCCTTTTCACCCATCTCACAGAGTAGAGAGAGGTGGGTCCCGGGTCCGTTTTTATTTATTTATGGGCTCGGAAGTCGGATGGGCATGCACGCGCCACACACTGCGCAATATCGCGCATATCGGCGGCAGGCGCCCGCCCGCCCCGCCCCCGGACAGTCTCTCCCACCACGCTCACAACACCACAGCACGAGTCACACTTGACCGGCTGCAACGCCCCGAGCCACAGAGAGCGCGCGTCTGATGCACCCTCCCGGACGCCGGAGCAGCAGGACGGAGACACACAGCAAGCACCTGGAGCAGTCACAGACTGCAGAGCCCTCACTGCCGGTAAGTCTCCCTAGACGTAATCACCGGGTGGCATCGCCGCCCGCGGCGAGGGCGAGGCCGGCGGGCGTCGCCGCCTCCACCTCGGCCGCCTTGAGCCACGCGCAAAACTCGATCAGCAGCACGTAGCCGCCGCCGTTCGAGTCCATCTCGTCGAAGCTGGCCGAGGTCGCCGAGCGCAGCGCCACGTACGGCGCCCACGACAGCCCCGCCGCCACCACCTTCTCGATGCCCTCCTCCCACTCCTCGCGCGAGATGCGGCGGTCGTCGGTCGCGGTGGTGCCGTCCGAGCATCCGTCCACCATCGCAAACACCTCGAACCACGTCGCGTAGTAGCCGAGGTAGGACAGCAGCAGCCGGAACTCGCCCTTGGTCACGTAGTCGTCCGACAGCGACGAGGCGGCCGCCGCCGCGTCCTTGGCGTCGTTGAAGGCGCGGATGAAGGACGGCCGGAAGCGGCGCCACACCGCCTCCCCCGCGCCCGCGTCCTTGAGGAAGGACTGCAGCGTCATCTTGACGCCCAAGTCGACCTCGGCGAGCGAGAGGTAGCCGTTGCCGTTCGGGTCCCACAGCCGCCACGCCTCCTCGCGCCGCACCGCCTCGGAGGGCGCCGCGAACGCGAAGGCGCGCAGGAACGTGTCGAGCTCGGACGGCAGTGCGACGCCCTCCTCGGCGGCCTGATGCTCGATCTCGAGGTCCTCCTGCGGCATCAGAGAGGGGGTCGTGAGTTCGCTCGGCGGGTGGGAGGGCGGGCGTGGGTCTCGGTCTTGGTGGGTGGTGCAGCGGAGTGAGTGGCGGGGGCGCAGGGAAGAGAGCTGGCAGCGAAGAGAGGTGGAAGAGTGGTGGCAACGAGCAGAGGCGGGTGCGAGCAGAGGCGGCAGGGATCAGCCGCGCCTGGAGGCCCTCGACGTCCCAGCCGAGCTTGGCATCGTAGTAGTCATTGCGCGACACGCGCGCGGTGGAGACGCGCGAGAGGCGCGCGAACAGCCTCTCGCCCTCCGCCATCGCGTCGCACTCTGCGTCGCCGTCGTCGGCCGGCGCAGGCGCGAGGGGCGGTGCCTCGACTGGCGGCTCGTTGTCCGGCGCCGCCTCGATCGGCTGCTGCGGGGAAGGGAAGGCCTCGATCTTCGCCGGCTCGTACACGTCGACGGCGGTGCCACCCACGGAGTACTTTTGCCCCGCCGGCGACGCCGCGGGCGCCGGGCGGGCCCCTGGCGGCGCGGCGCGCTGCGGCGACGGCTTGAGGCCGGCGAGTGCGCTCGGAGGCGCGTACAGAGAGCCGTGGCCGCCGAAGCGGCCGTTGGGGTCCTTCTTGGACCAGGCCGACGCCGCATCCTTCTGCACCGATGCCTTTGCGAGCGCCGAGGGGGCGGCGTCCGCGTACTTGAGAGCCGGCGGCAGGCTGCCCTCGTGCTTGGCGTTGGAGGCCCAGATGCCGCGCGACTGGCGCCGCGGCTCCTGAAACAGGGAAGGTGTGTGTATGTGTGTGTGTGGGGGGGGGGGGATGCGGGGGCAGGGGTTGCGAGTGCAGGGTGCGCAGAGGCGTTTACATCGTATCTGCGGCGCGTGTGTTGGCGTGTGCGCGCAGGTGCGAGAGTGTGCATGGGGACGTGCCTTTGCGTACGAGACTGTGGACGACTTGGAGGAGCCGATGTTGAATGGCACCGCGGTCTCGTACTCGCCGATGCCGGGCGTGGCCGGCTTGGCGTAGATGGTGTCGCGCCCTTCGAAGCGGCCCTCCTTGGCCGTGGCGTACGAGACTGTGGACGACTTTGTGGAGGCCATATGCACCGCGGTCTCGTACTCGCCGATGCCGGGCGTGGCGGGCTTGGCGTAGATGGTGTCGTGCGCCTCGAAGCGGCCGGGCCGCGCCCTTGCGTACGAGACGGTGGACGACTTGGAGGAGCCAATGTTCACCGCCGTCTCGTACTGCCCGATCGCCGGCGTCGCCGGCGCGGCGTACACGCTGTCGTGCGTCTCGAAGCGGCCGCGTCCGTCCTTGTACTGAGCAGACACCTGGGCACCGAACGGGAGGAACTGAGGTGCGGGTGGCCCCAGTGACGGAGGGGGGGGGGGGTCTCCGCGGGAGCGAGGCGAGGCTCGATCCGCCCTCCTTCTGGAACGCGCGTGGCAGTGGAGGCGTCTGAGAAGCGTCCGCACCTCCTTCTGCACCGACGCCTTTGCGAGCGCCGACGGGTTGTAGTACGTCGGGCCGTCGCCGCTGGCCTTGGCGACGGCGTCGGCCCAGAGGCCGCGCGACTGCCGCCGCCGATGCATCTTCTGGACGAGCGAGACCGTCGGGCCCGACGGCTTGAGCGGCTTGGCCGCGTACGCCGAGGGCGCCGGCGAGTCGGACTGCTTGTACACGCCGCCCGGCATCGCGAAGCGGTCCGTCTTGCTGGCCATGTTGGGCGTGGGGCGGCCGGCTCCCGACGGCGTGCGCGCGTTGCGCGACCCAGGGGTCGCCTTGCCCGGCGTCTTTGTGGGCGCTGGCGATGAGCGCTCGATGCCGGTGCCGGCGGCGGGCTTGTAGATCGATCCGGGGCCGCCGAAGCGGTCCGACTTCTGGTTCAGGGCCCATGGCGAGGGCTTGTTGTTGGTGGTCTTGCGCGCACCGAGCGGGCGCGTCGGCGTGGACATGGCTGGCAGGTGGCTCTTCTCGTGTACTAGTGCCTGCGGCGAGCGACGGTGGGCCGGCGGTGGGGTGAAGGCAGGGGACGGAGGCTGGAGGAGATCGCGAGGCAGGGCGGAGGAGAGAGGGGTGGCGTCGGGGAGGAGGTAGCGGCGGCGGAGGGGAGGGCGGCGGCGCGGCGGAGGCCAGGGTCGCGACCCTGCGGCGAGCCCTTTGAAAAGCCGCGGTGTGTTTTCTTTTTTTGCGGAAAGCTGTTCTTCACCTTCGATACATACACACCACACACGAGCGTCACTACGTGCCTCCCCGTCTTTGTAGCCTGGCGTTTGTGCCCCGTTTGTGCCGCGTCCCGTGCCCCCGAGTTCATTTTATAACCACACACGAGCCGACAAAACAAAACGTCACCATGGTCCATGCGAGTTTGACCAATAAGGTATGTGGAAAGGAGAGCGGGGCAAAGATTTCGTCAAGGGTGACATCCTCACATCCCCCCGGGGGATCCAGGCAGGAGAGAGAGAGAGAGAGAGAGAGAGAGAGAGAGAGAGAGAGAGAGAGAGAGAGAGAGAGAGAGAGAGAGAGAGAGAGAGAGAGAGAGAGAGATTTGTTCAGGGGAAGAGAGAGAGAGAGAGAGAGAGAGAGAGAGAGAGAGAGAGAGAGAGAGAGAGAGAGAGAGAGAGAGAGAGAGAGAGAGAGAGAGAGAGAGAGAGAGAGAGAGAGAGAGAGAGAGAGAGACGGGGGGCATTCAGGTGATCAATCACTCAGTCAGATCACGCTCTCTATTAACAGCCTGCGTGCGCGAGAGCGCTCGCTACATACATGCATGGCATGCACGTGCACATGCACATGCACAAGCACAAGCCGGCGGCTTGACGCTTGTCAATCGATCGACACGAAGAGCACCGCTCGACGAGGGCGGCCCACGCCACAAGATAGCTACAAACGGCACGCTTCGGTCGCGTCCAAAAGTCGCACCCAACGTCGATCGTGAAAGTCGCACGTCCAGCGCCACGCTGACGCATTCGGATATATGTCTGCAGCGATCCTCATGGGGCGAGAGGCCACGGTTGGCAACCAGAGCCGCCCAGCAGACCACGACGGCGACGCACGCTGCAGCGGGCCCGAGGTTGCTGGTCTTCGCGTCGCGGTGCGGGCATCCCAGAAGGGATAGATCTTGCCGACACACGCTCCCGCCTGGTCCAATTCAGTATGTGGACGGCCGTCGCGACCAGGTGTGCTTTTTCGGCCTCTCGCGCAATATGACAGTGTCGCTGCCGACCATCCGCGCCAACCTGCTGCGCCCGCTGCGGGCAGCGACAAACGGTGCGAGGCGGCCCTCAGGGTGGCACAGGCAGCGACAGCGTGGCGTTGAGCCCTCACCGTCGTCAGGCGCGACGGATGTATTTGTCCATGCGATGGTGGTGAGCTCGCCGGGCCAAGCTCCATCCCTCGTCCGCGCGCAAGTCACGTACTCGCGACCCCTCTCTTGTGACAGGTGAACAGCCTCGTAAACACGCGGAGCGAGGAGTCGGGCGGTGGCGCGCCACAGCGGCTCGCGTTCGCTGAGCTGCGACCGTGCCGCTTCGTGGCCGAGGCGCCACGGCACTCCAGAGTCAAACCACACCAGCGAGGGACCCGCCCAATAGCCACCGTCCGCTCCGCCCTCCGCAGGACCAGGACCTCGTCGACGCTGACGCAGAGCTAGAGCAGCTGGCGGCGAAATGGCGAGGGAAGGCCGAAAAGGACTACGACCAGCTCACCCGGATGAATGCACTCCGGGCCCACTATAGCCTGTGGAGAGTCTCTCGCCTGGCGCGCTTCTCCCAACAGCTCGAGCGTCCTCCCGACCCGAGCCAGCCAGCACCACACCGCCTCCCGGCAGGTGCTTTCGCACGAGCACGTCTCTCGGATCGCCAACAAGGACTTCCGCTACACGCACGTTGTCGCTGCACGGCCTGACACCGGCTTCTACTCGCCAGTCTCGCCAACGCAGTGGCTGGCGGAGCTGCAAGCCACCGCCGGCCGCCCGACCATTCGCGTGCCCAACTACAAGCACTTTTGGGGCCTCAACGACCGCCTCGCGTTTGGCGTCCTCCCTCACGAGACTGGCCGATCGCGGGACAGGAGGCGTCCATCCCAGGCGCAATTTGCGACTAGGCGACGCGCGCTCAATGATACACTGCTACATGTCGCGGTATCCGGCGGCGTGGAAGAGCAGCTTTCAGAACGTCTTGCGCGTGCGTCCCGAGTGGGCCTCGCCTTTTCGGCCAATACCGCCTCTCGCCATTTGGAAATAGGTGTGGAACACGGAGCGGCTCCTCTGTATGCACATGGCACGATGCCAGGCCCGCCCTCGTCCTTCCCTGGACCGTTGGCGAGGGCGCCGTCACCGTTAGCTTGATGGAAAGGTGCGAACCTCTGGGGTGGCGATCGAGACGACCCGCATGTGCGTCGTCCGGATACGCTCCAACGGCGAACCCGCCAGGTGCGCGGCGCTGGCTGCCCCCCTTCGGGTGCTCACACCTCACGCCAGCGGCTGGTTCCTCCCTCATCAGCGCTGACGTCAAGGATGGCTCACCTGTACTCCACGGCGTTTCGAAGCCGGAATCGCCGTGGAAATACTACGACAACTGCCTTCGGCTGGCGCGCTCGCAGAAGCATCGAATCTGTGGCTACGAGTGTGGTTCGCCCAGGCAAGCGCGCGCGCCGAATCCGAGCGCGAGCATGCGCCTTGATGCCTCTGACCCCGCGACCCCTCTCCGGCACCGCGCTGCAGGACCGAGTGGGTGCAGCCCAAGCCATCGGCCAGTGCGCTCGAGGAGGCGCGCAAGCCGCCCGTGTGCAACCTCCGCGCGGTTCGGAACCACTCCGAGGCCGTCAGCACCACCCCAGCCAAGGTGAAGAAGCGGCGCCCCAGCCGTGATGGGAAGGACAGGGCTAAGTCGTCATGGCGGCGGGTGCATGCCTCCGAGAACGCCACGCAGCTCGACGCAAAGCCGTCCACAAGCTTGCGACTGCGCCCCGCCCGGCAAGGGCAAGCCGAGGCCAAGAAGAGCAGAAGACGCCGCAGCCGTGAGGGGAACCAGACGGGGTGGAATCCTTTCCGTCGGATAAAGCTTCCCAAGCTGCCCAAGCTCAAGCTGCCCATTCACACAGAAGGGGAGAAGCCACGGATGTCATTTTGACCTGCTCGCAAGCAAACTCTCGTGCCTGCAGCGGACCTGTACGCATGTGCGCGCGCGTTTTTTATACGGCGTACACGAAATGCCCTCCAGAAAGGGCGCGCCCGACTCTCTCTTGTCAGACGCGTCCGGTGCCCCGGTGCAGCGGCAAGGCACCCCGAGAGCGGCTGCGGAAGGGGGAAGGAGGGGAGCACGCGCGGCCCGTCAATAGGATCGAGTCACTGATGTTGTGCAAGAGCGCCGCGCTGCTGAGCACCTCCTCGCCCGCCTCTGCCTCCGCCTCAGCGGCGGCGGCCAGCGTCCGCATTCTCCTCGAGCGCACCGCCCACGCCTGCGCCTGTGTGGGGCGCGTGGGTCGACGTCGGTTGCTGTCCGCGGTGTGATTGTAAGATGATCTCTCTTGGTGGCCGGAATTCAATCACCACACCTTGAGCCGCTGCTCGTGCGCGTAACGTGTCCGTGCTGCGTCCCCCCTCGCCCTGGCAGCAGCCCGGCGCTTCTCGCTCGCCTCCAATCGCCGGCACATGTCCAGCCAGTGTTGGTGCTCCTGCGCAAACGGCGGCGAGGGGGGCTGTGAGCGTTGGCGGCGGCGCAATGCTACAGGCGGCCTGCGCCTGGTGACGCACGCCGACGAGGCGGCGGTCAGGGTCGAGGCCGAGGCCGCTCGTGCTGGCCTGGCGCCACTGTCGCACCTCGGGCGCCGCCGCCGCCGGAGCGGTCCGCGGCCTCCGTCGCGCGTCCATTTTCGGTGCCGACCGTTTCGTTCGCGGTGCTCGCATTTTTCCGGACGATATTACATTTCTATTTCGATTTTCTTTTCGGCCTGTGCGGTGTTAGTGCCGTTCGCGCTCGGTGTTTGGGAGCGAGGGTAGCGCGGGCAGCACGAGCGCCGGCAGCGTGGCAGTCTCGTAGTGTTCCAACCACCCCCCAAACACACCCTCCCCACACCAGCACGGCCCTTCACTTCCTTTGAAGGCTCTGCCACTGCACACGCAGCACGTCGTTCGCCGGGAGGCGTCTCCTCACAACGTCACGGCGCCGCGCGCCGCGTGTGTCCCAACGCTTGGAACCCCGTCGCTCATGGTCGAGACGCTCGCACTCTCGTCCGTCCACCGCCCGCACGCGCTCACCCCAAACCCAACGCACTCGACCGTAGCTGGCGGACGGTGGACACCCGCAAGCTACCCGAGGCTGCCCCAGCTGGCCCAGCCGCCCCAGCGCCAGCTGGCCCAGCTCTCCGCCGCCCGGCTACGCCTTACCGCCTGCCCGCCCCCGAAGCCTCGCCGTCCGCCTCGAGTCTCACGCCACCGACTCGGCGCTGCTCCCCCGCTGCAGCTGGCCAGCCGAGGTTGGGCGCGGGTCAGACGGGAAGAGAAAGCCCGTGATGGCAAAGAGGCGGCCGAGGGCGGCGGGCTTGACGCCGACGCGGAAGGAGCCGCCGTGGAAGGCTTGCGCCGAGAGAAGCTCGAGCGGGTGGCCAAGCGGGGTAGAGGGGCTCGCGACCTAGGAAGTGTCTAGGACCCGTCTGGGAAGTGTCTAGGAAGTGTCTACGTCGAGGCGCTCCGCGACCGACGCAGGGTTGCGGACGTCGTGGATGAGCAGCATGCCTAGGGAGTGTCCGGGAAGTTTGTGCTGGGGAGTGTCTCGGGTGAGTGCCTGCGACGCCGGGGAGGAGGGAGCATGCCCATCAGCACAGCGACGGTCTCCGCGTTAAAGACGAGCATCGGCCGGAAGTTGCCTAGGAAGTGTCTAGGAGATGTCTGGGACGTGCCTGCGACGTGTCTGAGACGACCGTCGTCGGCCGGAAATCGCCTAGAAGAGGCGCACGCGCGCGCGGTGTCCAGGCGTCGCCGCAAGCGGAGGACGAGGTGTCGGGCGGAAGAAGCGTCTGCCCATTCCCGCCAGCGCGGCCGCGACGGCGCGGGCATTCTTGTTGTCGCCCGCAACCATGGACGCAGTGCGGCAGGCGGGCGCGACGTTCGACGAGACCGTGAGGCCTAGGAGTACCCCGCAATCTCCCGCAATCTCCCGCAATCTCCCGCAATCTCCCGCAATCTCCCGCAATCTCCCGCAATCTGCCACAGCCACAAGACGGTTGAGGCCTAGGAAGTGTCTACGAAGTGTGTGGAAGGTGTCGACGGAGTCTCGGAAGTGTCTAGGCCGGGATTGTGTGGCGCTGCTGTTGTGGGGCGTGTGTCTTGTGTGGCTTGTGGTGGTGCTTTGCTTGACATACTGACTGGGCATTTGTATGATCTCGTGTTGGTACCGTCGCGCGAGCGCGCGAGCGCCGCGCGCCAGTTGTTGATCGCCTAGCACCAGGCCAGTGGGCGCCCTGAGTTCAAAAGAGCGGCGTCCCGCAATCGCCCACAATCTCCCTCAGTCTCCCACGGCCACGCGCATGACGGGTCCCCGCTCCATGCCCGACCAACCTCCCGCAACCTCCCGCAACCTCCCGCAAAGCTGGCCCGTTCACTAAAGCCCCCGGACGCGCGATTCGAGTGAGTCTGCGACTATGGCCCAGTGGGCGATCGCCTTTGCGAGGGCGTAGTTTGGCCCCTGCATCGGCACGTACCTGCGGGAGAGTGCGGGAGGGTGCGGGAGGGTGCGGGAGAGTGCGGGAGAGTGCGGGAGATTGCGGGAGATTGCGGGAGATTGCGGGAGATTGCGGGAGATTGCGGGAGAGTGCGGGATGTGCGGGACGTACCCGTCATGCGCGTGGCGCGTCGGCTCGCCATCCGCGACGGGCGCGGCGGGGCGCGCGTTCGGCTCGTAGCGGAGGAGCCGCAAGTAGCTGGAGGCGTACGACTCGTCGCACGCCTCGGTGCATCCGGCGGGGAGAAGGAAGGCCTGCGAGGGAGTCTGCACAAAGGCCACGCCGGCGCACAAGCCCTTCGCGACAAGGGACGAGCAGACCAGGTCGCACGCGAGCGAGATGCGCACGTTCAGCTCCCCTGCGGGTTGGAGCGGGAGGGTGCGGGTTGGAGCGGGTTGGAGCGGGAGGGTGCGGGAGGGTGCGGGAGGGTGCGGGAGGGTGCGGGAGGGTGCGGGAGAGTGCGGGAGGGTGCGGGAGGGTGAGGGAGAGTGCGGGAGAGTGGGGGAGAGTGCGGGAGGGTGCGGGAGGGTGCGGGTTGGAGCGGGAGGGTGCGGGAGGGTGCGGGAGGGTGCGGAAGGGTGCGGGAGGGTGCGGGAGGCGTGTCGAGACAGTGGGAGGTTGTGCAAGACGCGGCAGCGTGTGGGTGGTTGCAGCTCGCCGTCGAGGTACGTGTAGGTCCCGACTGTCGCCCCCTTGGGCAGCGCCGGCAGCGTCTCCGCGAGCCACGCTGCGAGCTCGGGCGTCTCCGTCAGAAGATCCGCGCCGGCGGCAGCGGCGATCTCCTCGTCCGAGCTCGCGGCCCGCTTGAGCGGCACGACCTGTTCACACCGCCAGCCGTGAAGAGACGCTGTTCATAGCTCGCGGGCCGCTTGAGCGGCACGACCAGTGTCCCGGCGCTGGCGCGCGCCATGGAGACCAGCTCCGCCCACTTGGCAGGCTTGCCTGAGGGAGATTGTGGGAGATTGCGGGAGATTGTGCGTGCGTGCGTGCGTGTGCGTGCGTGTGTGTGCGTGCGTGTGTGCGTGCGTGCGTGCGTGCGTGCGTGTGTGGTGTGGAGTGGTGTGTGTGTGTGTGTGCGCGCGCGCGCGTGCATGTGTGCATGTGTGCATGTGTGCATGTGTGTGTGTGTGTGTCAGGCTTGCCTCGCGCGACGGCGACGACGGTTGCGCCGCACTGCAGTAGCAGCGCGAGCGGGCCCAGCTCGGCGGTCGCGCCTGTGAAAAGAAATACACGACGGCTGATACTTCTGTTTGGAGGCCCGCCCGCATGCCAAGCGTCGGCGTGTGTCTCTGTGTCGCTCCCATGTCTGCGAACGGTCTACGAAGAGCGGCGCCGAGCGCGACGAAGGTGCGGCCGCGCAGATCGCGCCACTCAGCCGAGTTTGCCACCTACAGGTTTCGTCGATTGATCTTGCGAATCGGTCAGCAAGGCCGCGCCACCCGGCGGGTCCAGCCACCGCGCACAGCGCGGCCGCCCCCGCGGGCTCGAGAGCGCCATAGTCGGCCCAGGCGTTGACTTGGTCGACGAGTACTTGGTCGGAGAGGCTGTCTCCAAAGTACGGCACCGAGAGGGAGGTTGGCAGGGCGCCGCTGCCCGCGACCGTGGCGGTGTGCAGCGCGCGCGCCGCCGACGGCGCCGCCATCGCCGCCTCCACCCCGACCACCTCGCCGCCTCGCACAAACTCGAACGTCGAGTAGATCTCAGCGAGCCCCGCCTCGGCGATCGCAATGGCGCGCTGCGCAGAGTAGGACTGCGCCTCGACGAGGCGCGTGAGCATCTCCGGGTACTCCTGTCGCCACGTCTTCCGCGCCTTGCGGATCGCACCGGCCAGCTCCTCGCCCGCCGGCGCCGCCGCCGCAGCAAAGACAGCAACGCCGGTCGCGAGCGTCGAGCGCTTGCCCTCGGGGCCGGTAGGGAACTGCACGCCCTGCGCACGGTTGCGGAGGGAAGGAGGCGTTACAGGGTGTTGGGTGCGTGACAACATGGGCGCGCGCGAGCGCCTCCGTAATCTTCGGCATAAGTCACAGCGATCCAGTCGGTGCGGCGTCGCACGCCCAGCCAAGTCAGGAGCCGACACCGACCCAACCCAACAACCCAACCCAGAAAGCACGATTCTGAAGTTGGGCCCTCAGTCTCCCCCCATCCCCAGGGCCTCCAGGGCTCGCACCTCAACCTCTCACAGACCAGCGCATAGCGGCATAACGTATTTTCTTCTCATAACAAGGCTGTGAAAAAGTGCGTATGGGCTCACTAGCTAGAGCTCTCACTAGAGGCCGTCATCGCATTCGCCTTCCTGGTACCCAGCGCTGGCTTCTGAGTTCTGACTGTCGTTGCTGTCTCTCCCTTCTCAACTGTCTGTGCTTGCTTGTGCGTCTTGGGTCCGGGGTTGTGTTTTTGTGTGAAGGCCTTCTAGGCCCGCGAGTAGTCTCCCCCCATCCCCAGGGCCTCCAGGGCTCGCACCTCAACCTCTCATAGACCAGCGCAAAGCGCCATAGGACGTATTTTCTTGTCAATAACAAGACTGTGTGAAAAAGTGAGGCGGAGTCGAAAGCCCGTGTTAGTAGAGGGAGGGGCCGAGGGACCATACCCCCCCCCCACCCCTGTCGAGGGCTAGTCTTGGGCGGTCAGGACCATACCCCCCCACCCTTTGGTCCGCAACAAAAATATTTCTTCCACCCACGTGCTGACGCGCGTTTCCAGCGGTTGCACGTGTGCGACTCTGCGCGGATGTTTCGTACGACAGCGCCGCGCACGTGGCACGAGCAATGCTCGAGATCGCGTTCTCACTCGTCGTAGCTGTTGACTGCCGGGATACCAACCAGAGCGCCTGGCCGCCGATTGTCACAGTGGCCACCGAACTCCCAGCGCAGCTCATCCAGCTTGGTTTCGGGCTGTGCGTCAAAAATTTGGGCTTTGCGCAGTCCCTCCTGCCCAATGCCGATTCATCACTCACGAAGGTGCGGCTGCTCCACCAATGGCTAGAAGACCAATTGATAGAAGGTCCTGACCGGCTGGCGGTATACATTGACTCAGATGTGTGCTTTGGCGGCTGTACATTTGAGTCCTTCCGCAAGTTCTTTCTGGCGAGCCAAAAAAGAGTGGTGCTTTCCGCCGAGATGGGCTTACACCCCTCAACAAATGCAAGCCGTGACGCATATGACCGGGCTGGCCCTGCACGGCTGCGTGAGCGCGATCATGCGTTTGGGCGCATGGGATTGCCCCCTGGCGACTGGTGGGACGGTCCAGCCAGAGCGCTACTTTTCTTTACGGGTGCACCCCAACAAAGGACCCCTTCTCAAGACGGGCCGCGATTTGCCGGACCAGTTCTGGCACCAGCAAGCTGCGACGTTTCCAGAGCAGCCAGAGTGGTGCAAAGAAGTTGAGCGAGAGCTTGGTGGCGGCGAGTCTTGTCGAGTTGGCGTGCCGATGAGCAATGTGTCTCGCACAGCAATGGAAATGTGGCATGGCCTTGTCCAGTGTGTTCTCACCAACGGCCGCGCCCGTGCATAGTGCACTAGAGTTGCAGCGGATCGTGTCTAGGATAACAAACTCAAACAAATACTGTTAGTGTTTTTTACTCTCATACTGTTTTGCTTGTCTTCCTTGGACCTTGCGCTGGGGGCGGAAAAAAAGATGGGAACCTCTTAGCTCCCTCGCCACGGAGCTGCAAGGAGTGCCGGGCGACGTCGACGTACCGCCTACCTCCCCCCCTCCCCCCCTCCCCCCCCCGCACACCTGTCCGCTGCTCAATGACAATGTTTGACGACTCGAACGTGAAGCTTCTCGAGTTTTGTGTTCTTCTCCGAGTGTAGCTGTGTTAGTGCCAGTGCGCGCCAGTCCCGTGCCCATTGTCGTCCGTGCGAGGGAGCTCGGTCGTAAAATTCGGCTGTGTTAAATTCTTCTCCGTGCACGGTTACAGCCACGTGTCGCGACGTCGCAGTCAACGCGCCGGCCACCTGGTACGCGATGCTTGGCTCCAATTGCACAAGCCACAACGGGCGGTTGGAGGTCCGCGTGCCTGCGGCAATGCGATTGCATGTGCTGGGCTCTCCCGATCCGCCACCGGCCGTCGATCTGCGCAGCTGGGCCAGGTCGCCAGCGCCCACGCACTACTCGCTTCGAGTGCTGAATGCTGGGCTCGGTACGACAGCAACGCACTTCACGCACACTTTGTTCTGCGACCTTGGGATGCGCGCCGTGCATCACGAGCAGTCGTGCAACCTGCCGATGGGGTCTCAGCAACGCGTGCTCAGTGTCTTCCGTAGATATAATCGCCTGCGGGACTGCATCGCTTCACCCCATCACTGTTCCAACGTAATGCAGTGGAAGCAGCAGTTCGCTAGGGATGTGCTGTGGCTCATCTCGCGCCATGGCGGCGGTGTTGAGGCGCTCTCTGACGTCCCCTATGCCAACATCTTCCGCGAGCTGCTGGTCCTGATTCCCACGCTTCAAGTGTTGCACACGGTTCGTGAGCCGTTTGAATGGGCAACGCAGCGCCTTCATGCTTGAAGGCGTCGACGTCGTGTGTCGTACGCCATTTGTCGCGACTGCCTACAGTATTGGCGAGTGTCTAGATTCAGCGAAAAATATGCGCGATGCGCTCGAGAGCGAAATTGCTGCCACGGCAAAGTGGACGCGTTTGTCGCCGCCAGACTCGCTGCGCCGAGTCTTTACGCGCGAGAACAACCTGTCGTATATCGCACCGCCTCCAGATCAGCCGCTTATCAGTCGCATGTGGCATGCGCATGGCCTGTACGCTGCGCGCTTTGCCGCGTACAACGCGTTCGTTGCTCGGATTGTGCCAGCAGGACAGTACAGCTCTCTCTGTGCATGGGACAGCCCCACCATCTTCTCATCGCGGGTGCGTGCTGGCGCCGTGCCTACCGCCCCTGCTCTTACCATCGCAGCGCCCAGGCCCCCCTCCTCTGCCACGCAATCACGTGCTCGGCACAGCTTCGTGGTGGTGGGTGGCCCTGCGCAAGCCCTCGAGCGAGAGCTGCGCAACGTGACCGGTGGCAAGGTCGTTCATTGGCCCGAGGTGAACACTGCCGGTTGCCCTGGAGAGCTGACGTTCGATGCCGACCTTCGGTCGTGGCTAAATGCATCTGGCCAAAGGTGGAGAGCGGGAAAGAGTAGAGGAATCGCCCTGTCGCATTGGACGCTATGGCGCTTGTTTGCGCGGCAACGTTGGGCAGACGCACTTGTAGTTTTCGAAGCCGACGCACGCTTGGCGTCGGCTGCAGCTTCAACTCGGCTTCGAGCACGACTGCAGAGACCGCATGAGCACCGAGACCTCACCTATCTGGGGTGGTGTCACTGGGGTGCGAGAACAGGCGAAGGCACCAGGGGTGCCACCCGCTGCAGTGATCCGCCGGGCTGCACGCACGCGTATGTGCTCACGCTGGCTGGTGCGGCGAAGGCTGCGGATGCACTTGACATCTGTGGCCCAGCCGTCGACTGGCAGCTTGTCAAAATGTGCCGTGACGGCACTCTCTCCTGGGGTCTCGCGGACAAGTGCTCGCTGCAGTCGCATGGCAGCCGTGGATCGCTTCGGCAGGAGGGATTATTGCGACAGAGCGCCCCGCCTTCGGACTTTCGACATTAGGACCGAAACGACACAAGAAGATGCATATGTTTTAAATCCGCAGCCGCCAACGCCGCCCAACACGACATAGCGCAACGCGCTGATCTGGGCGAAGGCCTCGTTGCCCAGGTTGGCCTGTGAGAAGCGGGTGCTGCTCGTGTCGAGCATGTCCAAGATGTTGTTGGTGACAGTTTGGTAGGCGGCGAGCTGCGGCGTGTAGAAGCCGAGCGTGGCGTCCGTGAGCGGCACCTCGTGGTACGCCCACACCTTGACCTCCTCCGGTGAGGGACTTGGCGGTGGTGGTGTGCGACGGGCCGAAGAAGGTCTGGATGGCGGAGTTGATTGCCGCGAGGATCTCCACAGCCGGCTCCTCGATGCTCACCCCAACGCAGTAGTTGAGCTTCTGCCGGCAGATCCGCACCATTAGCATCCGTTCCGTGAAGAGAGGTGGTTGGCGGCCGCAGCGGACGACGCGTGGTTGGCGACCGACGTGTCGAGGATTGACGGGCAGGTGAGCTGCTTGTCGGTGGCCCTCTCGTCGAGGTTCTGCAGAGAGGCAGCTGCGCCGGTGCCAAAGAGCTTCGGCGCACTGTACATCTTGCTGTCGCGCATCTCATCGTCCGAGAGCGCCAGTCCCGTGAAGGCCAGTCCCGTGACGGCCATTTCCGTGTCGGCGGCAGCGCGAGCTTGACTGAGCGCGAGCTTAGAGCGAAACGTTGCCATGGAGCTCGCCCTCTCCTCGCCGCCGCCGCTCGCAGGCAAGACGGTCGCCGTCGTCGGCGGCGGCGTCGGCGGCCTCGTCGCGGCCGGCCTTCTCGCGAGGCAGGGAGCGGCGGTGACCGTTCTCGAGCAGCGGCCGGTTGCCGGCGGCCGGCTCGGCGAGCACCGGCTCGGCCCGGCTGGCGAGTGGCGGTTCGACTCCGGCCCTTCTCTGCTGCTGATGCCCGAGGTCTACCGAGAGACCTTTGAGCTGCTCGGCGACCCGGAACCGCTCGAGATGTCTCCGGTCGCCGCGCCCTTCTACCACGTTTTCTTTGGGGACGACCCGGCCGGCACCGCTCCCATCCAGCTCGACCCGGCGCGGCGGCGCGAGGAGTTCGCCGCCGCGATCGAGCGTCTCGAGGGCTGGCCTGGCGACTCGATGGAGCGATTCGACGCGTACATGGCCGCCGCGACCGCCGCCCTCGACGGCGGCTGGCCGCTGGCCATCGAGGAGCGGTGGGACGTTAAGACGGTCACGGCCGTCCTGCCCGCCTTTGCGAGGTCGGCGCTCCGCAACTTCCCCGCCAACCTACCCGTGGGCGCGAGCCGCGGAGGCGGCAGCCCGCCCTTGCGGTCCGCGTCTCTTTACGCCGCCCGCCCTTGGACAGGCCAATCGCACATGCAGCAGCTCCGCCGCTACTTCCCAACCTCGGACAAGGTCCGCGCCCTGCTCTCCTTCCAAGACCTGTGCGCCAGCTAGAGCTCACACTAGACTCCTTCCAAGACCTGTGCGCAGCTAGAGCTCACACTAGACTCCTTCCAAGACCTGTGCGCCAGCTAGAGCTCGCACTAGACTCCTTCCAAGACCTGTGCGCCAGCTAGAGCTCGCACTAGACTCCTTCCAAGACCTGTGCGCAGCTAGAGCTCACACTAGACTCCTTCCAAGACCTGTGCGCCAGCTAGAGCTCACACTAGACTCCTTCCAAGACCTGTGCGCAGCTAGAGCTCACACTAGACTCCTTCCAAGACCTGTGCGCAGCTAGAGCTCACACTAGACTCCTTCCAAGACCTGTGCGCAGCTAGAGCTCACACTAGACTCCTTCCAAGACCTGTGCGCAGCTAGAGCTCACACTAGACTCCTTCCAAGACCTGTGCGCAGCTAGAGCTCACACTAGACTCCTTCCAAGACCTGTGCGGCAGCTAGAGCTCACACTAGACTCCTTCCAAGACCTGTGCGCCAGCTAGAGCTCGCACTAGAGGCCGTCATCGCATTCGCCTTCCTGGGACCCAGCGCTGACTTCTGACTGCCGTCGCTGTCTCTCCCTTCTCGACTGCCTGTGCTTGTGCGTCTTTGGTCGCGGGGTTGTGTTTTTGTGTGCGCCTGGCCTCTCACCGCGCCTAGCCGCGCCTACACATCCGAGGCCACTCGAGTCTTCCGAGCGAGTAGGTACGTCGGCCTGTCGCCATACGAGGCGCCCGCCGTCTTCTCGCTGCTGCAGGCGATGGAGGTCCAATCTCGGGCGGATCTCGGGCTGGTCTCGGCCAATCTCGCGTCGTCTCGCTGCTGCAGGCGATGGAGCTGGACGCCGCGTCGTACGGCGTTCGCTATCCGCGGGACGGGTTCGGGCGCGTGAGGAGGAGGCTGCTCGAGCAGTGCGAGAAGGTCGGCGTGCGGGTGCGAACCGGCGCCGGTGTATCGGTATTCGGCTGTATCGGCACTCGGCTGGACGACACTGCGTGTTCCAACCCTGATCTTCTTCACGCGGCGTCTCGGCTGATCTCGGGCTGATCTCGGCCAATCTCGCAGGCGTGGCCGTCACGCGAGTCGAGGTCACCCAGGAGGGCGGGGAGGCGGGCGAGAGCGGCGCTGCTGCGACGGGCGTTCGGATCGTCGACGGCGATGGCTCCGAGTCGAGCTTCGCCGCCGACATCGTGCGGGCCCCCAGCCGAGATTGCGCCCGAGATCGCCAGCCGAGATTGCGCCCGAGATCGCCAGCCAAGATTGCGCCCGAGATCGGAGCCTCCCCGAGGCGAGGGCGTGTGGGGAGGACTGAGCGTGTGCCTCTGCTCGCGGCGGCGGCTGCCGCGAGGGCTCGAACGGAAGAGAAGAGAGGAGAAGAGAGAGAGAGAGAGAACAGCGAGAAGGGAATAGGAGGGCCCTCCGCCCGCCGGAAGGTGCTTTGCAACGCGGACCTGCCCGCCGCGGAGGAGGCGCTGCTGCCGCCACACCTCTCCAGGGCCGACAAGCTGCGGTCCGCCGCCTCCTCCTCCTCCGTGCTGTCCCTCTCCTTTGCCCTCGACGCGCAGTTTGCCGACGCGCTCGCGCACCACACCATCGTCTTTGCAGAGGACTTGGGCCAGGCGCCGTGGGAGTCGCTCTTTGGCGCCCGCCGGGCCTCGAGCTTCCTGCCCGTGGCCGCAGCCCCCACCTGGGCCCCGGGCCATTTCTACGTGCGCCGCCCGACTAGGGGCGTCTGCTCGCTGCGGACAGGTCTCTCTTCACGAGCGTCTGCGTCCGCAGGTGCACTGCCCGACGAGGACCGCCGTGTCCAGGACACGTCCATGACATGTCCGAGACGTGTCCGCAGGTGCACTGCCCGACGAGGACCGCCGTGTCCAGGACACGTCCATGACATGTCCGAGAGGTGTCCGCAGGTGCACTGCCCGACGAGGACCGACCCGACCGCAGCTCCTGCCGGATGCGACGCCATCACGGCGCTCCTCCCGACGCCGCCGAGCCTTTTGGAGCCCGAGCCTTGTCAGAGCCTCCCCGGAGCCTCTCCCGGTAGGTTCTCCTCCCGACGCCACCGCTGCCGGTCGGCGCCTCCGAGGCGGAGGCCGAGGCGCTGTCCGACGTGTGGGCGGCGGCGGGGCGGGCGTCTGTCGTCGAGCGGCTGGCCCGCTTGCCTGGCATGGCAGGGTGGCAGCAGAGCATTCGCCACGAGTCCGTCATCCCGCCGGCTCGGTGGCGGCGCGAGTACGGCCTCGCTCGCGGCGCGAGATGAGCCGAGATGAGCCGAGATGAGCCGAGAGTTCAGCGAGCACGGCTTCGCCCGCGGCGCGGCCGCCTCGCCCTCCTCCCCCGGCGCGCGCGCGCCTCTTCACCCCCTGCCGCCGACGCAGGCGCCGTGTTTGGCCTCGCCTCCAGCCTCAACCAGCTCTCCTTCCTCCGGCCCGGCCCGCGCCACCCGAGGGTGCGCAACCTGTACTTTGCCGGCGCCTCCGCGCGGCCAGGCAACGGCGTGCCGCCGGTCATGTTCATGTGCTCGAGACGTGTCCATGACATGTCCTAGACCTGTCCACAGGCAACGGCGTGCCGCTGGTCATGTGCGGCGCCAGGCAGGTGAGCGAGTTGCTGCTTAGTGGCTAATTGACATTAGTTGGTCAGTCATGTGCGGCGCCCCGGCAGGTGAGCGAGGCCATCGCGCGCGATGCGTGCGGCGGGTGAGGGACGCGGCGGCCGTGTCGCCTTTCAGCGCCACCACGGGCACCACACCGGCAGGGCGCCACGGGCGGTCGCCACAGCGCGGCCGCTCGTGGTTGCGCCGCGCAGGGCCGCCAGCAACGTCGCCGCCTCTGCGCGCCGCCGCGGTCCTGGAGCGGGCGCGGCTGCTGCGCGAGAGGTCTGCGGTCGGGTCTGTGGCCTGGCGTCTGCCAGGGCTCTCTAGCCCATAGCCCGATCCCGATCATCCGGCCCGCTGGGTGCGCTTCTTAGCTCCCCGGCCCTGGATGTGAGGCTGATGACTGCACTCCAAGTGCTCCAAGTGCCCAGCGATTAAACCGGGGCCCAACTCGACGACTTTCTAGCGATTTGCCTCGCACGAACCACGGGGTCGGCTCCCCTTGCAGCCTTTCGAGGGGCGCAAACCCTGTGACTTAACCCTAGAGATAGATACACTGTCGGTTACTGGACCGTCACCAGCTCGACGTCGTCGAACAACGTTCGACCATGGCACTGTTCACAGCGCGCGCGGACGGCGGTTCTGCGAGTCCCGCTCAGCAGGACTTTTGTAAAGCATGCTTGTGGCAAGTTATAGACGCTAGTATCGACCTCAGAGACCCAGGTGCATCGTCTGGGCCGACTCGGACAGCGCAAGCATGGGCGGTCGGCCTCCCTAGATGCACGCGAGGAGTTGTGGCGCGGTCCTTCCCGTTGCTCCTCCCTGTCACCCAACCCACCCGCTCCACGGCCGCCTCAAGAGCTTGAACCTCCCCCGGTGCAGGCTGCCACACCAACGCGACGTTTGTCGAGGCGGAGGCGGTGTGCATTGCGGCGGGTGGGCGGCTCTGCACCTCCATCGAGCTCGAGATGGGCTGCGCGCGCGGCTCCGGCTGCTCCCTCGACGACCACCTCGTGTGGTCCTCTGGCAAGAACCGGCCGCAGTTCGACGCCGCGCAAGAGTTTGGGGTGGACGCAGCAAGGGGGCTGGTACCTCCATTGTACGGTGGGCCTCAAATCCTCGGCCTCGACCGCTGCCAGGCGTACCGCGCCGCGACACCCGTGGTGCGCCGCCGCTTTGGTGTCGCCGGCCTCTTCAACAGGGGCACAAGCCTGCTGCAGCAGTTGCTGGTGGAGCGGTGCGCCATGCCGGGCCGCGAGAGTGCAGAGCAGAGCCGCGATGGCAAAGCAGTGTTACGGTACGCGCGAGTGTCGGCCGGATCTGCGCCGTGGGGCAAGCACAGCCCGGCTACGTGGCGCGGGAGACACGCCGTGACTGCACCCGACAACGTCTCCGACGTGGAGAGCACCCTCCCGCTGGTCATCGTCAAGGACCCGCTATCATGGATGGCCTCGTTGTGTGGCAACGCCCAGGATAAGCACTAGGGAGCGGATCGCATTCATCGCAGCCTCCGAGGCCGTCGGGAGGAGGAGCGGTGGGGCCGTGATTGCACGTTCCACGTAAGCTGCGCCGCCTCGCGCGCAAAGTCGCGCGCGGCAGCGTTGACCGCACGGCCTACTCGCCCAAGTACTCGCTCTCTTTTATGTCCCACCATGCAGAGCGCATCTCTCTCTCTGTTGTGCGAGGCGTGAACCGCGCCATTCGCTCTCACCTGGCAACCCTGTCTGCACGTCTCGCGCGCGCGTGAACAGGGCTCCAGGCCCCCCAAATTACGTGTGAGTGTTAGAGTTGTTTGGTATTGCTAAAAATCTCTCTCAGGTTTCGAAGTAACTTGAAGCCCGAACCGTGTTATTTCCTCGAGCGCCGGATAAGCGATTCACACGAGGGCCGTCACAACGTGTTTCTCGGCTCGCCCTCGCCCGGCCCGGCGCTATGCCGGCGCGTTCGCTAGAGGCTGCTGCCGCAGAGCGGAGGCGCGTGCGTCGCCTCGCTACTCTCGCGGCGAAGCAGCTGCCGCCGCCGAGAAGCGACGCGGCGTCTGCCGAGGAGAGAGAGCCAGCGCGGCGGTCGCCGACGCCGCCTTCGAGCTGTGTGCCACTTCTCGGGTGCACGACAGCTCTGCGCGGCAGCAGCATCAGCAGCCGCTGCACCGCCACCCGCCTCGCGCCTGTCGCGGCCGGAAGGGAGCACGCCGTCGCTGCCGTGGTACCGAGGGCCGGAGCCCGACTCTCGTACAGTCGAGCGGCTCCGAGGCGAAGCGCTGACACACACAGGGCATGCCGCGCAAGGAGAGCGCGCCTCGAGGCCGGCAAGTGCGCGTACGTGCCGCGCGGTCTTGGTGGCGCGATTCATGACGGTCGCTCTCGCTGCCGGCCGATGAACCCTCGCCGCCCCCGCACCAGCGACACCGGCCGCGGCTCGCCTCCACGCGCCGGCTCGGAAGAGGGGCTGTCGGCGGCGCAGCAGAGCGGCTCGCCTCGGCGCTCGAGCCGCCGACAGCCCCACTCCTCGACGTGACGGCCGCTCCCGGAGCCAGCCGGTGCGCGCCCGACCCACGCCCCCTCTCGCACCCCTCCGACCCCCCCTGCGCGGCGCACCTATCCGCTGTGCGCCGGCTCGAGCGCCTATCGCCAAATCGCGACGTTTGAGCGCAGCGCACGCGTCCCACACGTCACGCGCGCGCAGGAGAGCGTGCGGCACAGCAGTAGCGTGTACTCGCCGAGGGCATCGCGCCGAAAACCCCGCGCGTTCCGCCCCAACAGAGGCTGCAGCCTCTGCACAAGCTACACCACTGTAAGAACGGTGAGTACTTGGGGTTGAGTGGGCTTGCTTGCTCCCTTAGCCGGGAGCAAAAATGCAAGAATAAGGTAACCGCTGTGAACCCAGCCCACGTACGCCCAGCCCACTACAACCCCCTCGCCGACCGTCCAGACTCCCCCCCCCCCCTTCTCCAACCCTGACGAGCCGACGGATGGTTGAGCCCCTGGCCTTGCGCACCCCCGCCCTCTTTCACCCCTCACTGGCACGCACCCCCGACACGCACATACAAGACAAACCCGGGCGTGCTGCTCTCAAAAGAAAAGAAAAAACGGGAAGGAGGAGACCAGTGGGGGAGACTTCCCACCTATGCAACACCCCAGAGAGGGGCTGCCATCGCCGAAGCTGTGCCTAAGCATAACTCCCAAACCCGCAGTGCCAGCGGCCCGGGGGGCCTTGGGGGCAGTCTGCCGGACCGCTGTTGCACAGGACGGAGCACCAGGAGATGAGAGTAGTTGACGGGTTGGGCTGCCGACCGTGCCTCCCCTCTTTACGTCAGAGTGGGACCTTTGCCGCGCCGGGTCTGGGGCGCGCCCGGTCCTTGACGGAGCCGCGCGCCCCGAGCGGCCCAGGCGGCGAGTAGTCGTCCTCGAACCTTCGACATGTAGTAGTCCGTGGTTAGCGCCCGCCCGCCCCCCCCTCTCCGTCGCTTCGCAAAAGAAAAAACAAAATAAAAACAAGCAAAAGAGAAAGCGAAGCCAAAAAACGATTGCGTAAACGGCGTCACAAAGCCCGCCGGTTTTGATCGACAATCGTGAGATTGACCGCCGTCGACCAGAGAATTGACGGCCAGCATGCAAACGATGTGCCAGCCTGCACTGCTGTTGGTCGCCATGCTCGTCCCTCAGGCACGCTCGCAGTCAGCCCTCCTCGAGCACTGGCGCAATCACCCGCCAAGCGACTACTACCTCGATCGGTGGGTTCACTACGCACCGCACTACGAGCAGCACCTCCCGGCCCGAGACAACGGCTCGCCGCTGCGAATGCTCGAAATTGGCGTCAGCTCTGGCGGCAGCGCAATCGCATGGAAGCGATGGTACGGGCCGTCGCTCACGTACGTGGGCGTCGACCTCAACCCCGCATGCAAGCGCACCGAATCAGTGGGCGAGCGCCGGTACATTGAGATTGGCTCGCAGGAAGACCCCGACTTCCTTCGCTCCATCTGCGCCAAGTACGGCCCATTCGACATCGTCATCGACGACGGCGCACACATTGCGCGGATGGTGCAGCTGAGTCTGCAGCTTCTCTTCGAGAGCGACCAGTGCATGCGTGACAAGTCCATCTATGTCATCGAGGACCTACACGTGCTCGCGCGCTGCTCGGGACCTGGGCACGACTCGACCTTTTGTAACCACCCGCGCGACTTCAGCAGCCTCTACTCGGATGCCTTCCTTGGCATGCACAACCGCTGGCAGGGCTGCAACCAAGCTGGCCGCCGCTGCCACCGCGCGCCGAAGACCAGGCCGCTCGGTCCCTCGTGGGCGTCGATGGTTGCGGGCGTGCATCTTTACGATAGCATGGCCTTTTTCGAACGCAACTCTGGGCAGAATGCCACCGTACTCGGTCGGCTCACCCGCGGCAATAGAACGGAGAGGGTCACGACCATCGACCCTAAAGTAGGCTGAGAGGTCGAAGAGAGTAGAGACCGCTCTCAGCAACGTGCTCATCGGCGCGCGTCTCGTTTTGGAGAGAGACCCTCAACGAGTGTGTCGGGTGTGTCCGCATGCCGTCGACCGACACGTGTCGACGTGTGCCGGTGCGACGTCTGGTACTGTGGTTGGAGCGGAGTTGTGATCACACGGTGTATATGGCTTTCCGGCTCTATGTACATCACCTATACGCTGCGAATGCGTATTACGCACAGACGCGCACCGCGTCCCCGCGTGGGACGCGCCTGGAACTTGTACTTTTCGTAATAGTATTCATCATTGCGAGAGCGGACCACTCCTAGCGTGCAGACCGCGGGAGCTTGGTGCCGCGGCCAGTGTGGAGACCTGGCCTGCGCTGTGACGCGCGCGCTCATCTCGAACGTGGAGCCTCCCAACAGGCTGTCACGTTAGGGCCTGACAGCGACGGAGCACCTCGACTGTCAGACTCTGCTGTCATGCTGTCAGAAGTACGTGCTGTCAGACTGTCGGAGAAAGTGCTGTCAGCGCTACAGCGTTGTCAGGCTGTCGGGCACTGTCAGGCGCTGACCGCTGTCCGGGGTTTGCTGTCAGACTGTCAGAGACCAGGGCTCAGAGGCGGGGCGACCCGAAAGACTCACACTTCACACACTGCCAGTCTTGTTCTCTTGAACAACTCAAGGTATTCAGTGGAGGCTAAGGCGGAGGTAATGTAACACCTAAAAGCACGAGGAGGAGAGCCA